GTCCAGCCAGTTTTTTACCCAGCGAATCAAGCTTTTTGCCTCAATGAGCTTAATTTTTTCTTGTCTCTTGCTTTTCCTAGTGTTTAGTGCCACTCTGTTCCTAGAAGTAGAACTGTGATAGTGAAAATACCCTCACAATGTGCTCTGGGTGCATCACACAGGCTGTAGTTTACAAACAGGCCCTGTGTTTCTGAAGGTTAGCCTGTGACCAGCGCTGGCTTGGTCTATGATCTGCAGAAGGTATGGGTCTATAACAGCCCTAGCTAAAAAGCTCTAGGGGTTCATAGTTCCAGGTCTAGAAGCCAAACTTCTGTCCCCGAGGTCTGGAAGCCAGCCTTCTGTCCCTATCGCCTGAGACAGAACTGTTATCTTTACACATGACAACTAAATCTACCTGCTTAATAAAAGTCTGTAGTAAGGAGAAGGCTATTCTTTGCATTATGTATGGAGTGATTGGTGAGATGGAAAGAAACTGCTTTCTTTTCTGTGACCATTGCTTTTCTGGGCTTTTGTTCCCGTATGTTGGGTGAATTCCACCTTGTCCCACTTCATAATTGTCAGATCTTAAAGAATGCCTGCAGAAATAGCCACTGTGAAACTTAAGAGCTCTAGGTTTCTCTTGGAAAACCAATTGCCAGACTGTAATCCAGAGATCATTGCTGGTCTAGGAGGCTGTGCCAAGGAATTTATAGAAACATACTTTCTAGAGCTACCCATTAAAATTTGCTGATAAGCATGTGACAGTCGAAGCAGCTGGCAGTGATCTGTGATATAAAAAGTTTGGGAAGATTGTGCTCTGGTACAGGATGAGCTTATTTGCCAGATTTACTGTTGGGTCTTCGTGATGACTTTTAAAACTCTTTCAGGCGCCTTCAGATGCTTCCGATGTTTATACTTTTGCTTCCTTTTGGCAGTGGAGCATTTCTCTCTGTCAGCAGTGGAGTACTGTGCTCTAAGCTCCTCTTCATTGCTCGTGTTTGCACAGTGACTCAGACCCTTGCATTCCTCCCCTCGCTGATAGAGCCATCTCACAGACCTGATAGAAAGCTGGCCAGCCCCGCAGCCCCAGCAGTGATCCGGAGCAGACTTGGACCAGGCTCTTTCAGTCCTTTTTGGTGCTTCCAGCTCCCTTTGAGTGGATATATGCATGCAGGAGTCTCCAAGCCTGTATGCATATGATTAACTCCACAGTGCAAACAGAAGATGTTTGATCTTCTGACTAATGAACAAGGTCTGATGTCAGGAAGGAGAATAGCGGACAGGCTGCCGTGTGCCCAGTTGCTATTTTCGAGAAGCAAAGGGCATCTTTGTGATCACTTCTCACAAACACTTTTGCTCACACTATGCAGGCAGGTTACTGCTGTGTCCACAGCTGCTTGTTACGTGTTGAAGGATGCTCATACTCTCCTGTTTTCTGTATTCTATTTTCTGTATTCTGTATCCTGGTCTCTGTGACCTTTCCTCTCATCTTTCCTCAGTGTGAAGGAAGGGAAACCGTGGCATGCTGACAGTGGAAGGGAGCGGGAGAGGAGGGAGGTGTTACTACCAAGCTAGTCCCCCAGGGTCACTGGGTGTGGGTGGGAGGGAGGGAGAGATGGGACTTGAGCATAGCTTATGTCAGAAGTAGTGCTCAAAGCCGTTTTGGCAGCAGTAGCTGTGACGAGGCAGAGCAAGCTGCCAGGCCTTGCTAAACAGTGCATGTGTGCTACAGGACATGACTGCATGCTCAAAAGTTCAGGGAAATGGCTCTTTGGTTGGGCTTGTCTTGTCTTCTTCTGAATCCAGTTGCTTGGGACTGTTTGCAGGTGACAGCATTACCTATGTGAGCCACATTACCAAATGTAGCAAGTCTTGAGACACAGTTGCTAACCTGGATCACATGCAGGCTTTTTTTACTCTGGAAGTCTTGAAGGGGCCCCAGGTGGTGACCTGCATCCTCCCTGCTGCAGTACTTGGTTTATGCCAGTGAGCCAGACGCTTCACGCAGCAAATTTTTCCTCTAAATGTTTCACTAGCAAGTCAAAGGGATGAGCCACCCTTTGCTGTCACACCACCTTCCTGGTGTCTCCCAGAAATGGGCAAAATACAACATGAGACGCATTCTTTTGCCGCCTTATATGCTCCATGGCATGGCCCTACAGTTACACGGAAGATCTTTCTGTTCTTTGCTCTGTGTTGTATTTAACACATCCTTTTTACAAAACAGCACCAAGCACACACTGCTTTTTGAAGCGTAGGTGCCAAAGCCTGTCTGGCAGGGCCTCTCTGTCAGCTCAGTAGGAAACCAGAAGTGAAAAACTCACAGGCAGACAAATGTGATAAATCTTTAACTCCGCTTACTTTCAATGTGTCCCAGAGTCCTACCACTGTGTTCTGTTGCCTACTCAAAGACCCTGGGGTGTGAGCACCTTATGGACAGGATTAAATTCATCTCACAGTGTCTTGGGGATGGCTCAGGCATGAAGAGCTACAATCTATCAGTATCACTCGTTGCACTAAGACCAGTCCATGGTGACACTGGGCAGAAAACTGAATTCAGACCTCCTGAGTGCCAGCAAATGTCTTCATCCCAAGACCATCTGTCTCCTGTTTCCCCCTTTTGCTCTTCCCCTACTGTGAGTGGGAAAGCCATTCCTACCCCCTGCCAGGGAAGCCTGTTGTTGCCTGCTGACCTTACCTGGCATCATCAGGATTCAGCCCTGAACTGTGCAGCAATAGGTGCCCCTACTGTGACAGAGGTCTTTTCCCCTCCCTGCACTAGCAGACACTGGGCAGGGAGTGCTAAATCATCCATGTAATCATTCTTCCATTGGCCTTAGTGTTCTCCTTTTGTTTTGCTGACTTCTAGCCATGGTGTGGTTTGTTGCTGTTTGGTGCTGTTGTGTTACAGGCACTGGGATGCGCAATTCCATGGGACCTGTCAAGGCCATACACCAGAGTCAAGCTGACAGCAGCCTTTTGCGCTCTTTTCCAAAAGTTAAAATACTGAAAAATAGACAGGAGGGAAATGTATCTGCTTGAGAGAAGAGATAGCTTGGCAAGGCAGAGATAGCACACCAGCTCCTGAGCGCTGCAGTGCTGGGGGGGCTCCCATGGGTGCTCAGTGCCACTTTGCCCAAGGGTTTACGTCCTCAGGCTTCGCAGGGCATTTTTCAGGGGCTGCTTATGCTGAAGGCTCTTGCGAGCTAAAACCTTATCAGCTAGTGTCTGTTCCTATGACAATGTGCAGTGTCTCTTTGCAGTCCATGTTCAGATCCTCAGGTACGCTTGTTTGTATTTTTAAGTGTGAATTGCCAGTTGTTCCTTTACACTTGAGATGTCAACTCCAAAGTCAATGAAAGCTGACAGGCTGTGGGCCTAGAAATAACTCCTGTGAAAACTGTCCCTTGTGCCGCTGTGCCCTGGCCTTGCAGCATGCTGCCCCTCTCCCTGGCCTGCTCCCCTGCTGTAGCAGTCACTGCAGCTAGAGAGGTTGCCCTGGTTGTGCCTTGGGGAGAGGAAGAGAAGCTCCTGTTTTCCCATGAAAGAGGCTTTGCAAGGTTTTGGCTAGGAGGGAGTCACTGACTAACTCTTGCTCCCCTAAATGTCCTAGAGCCACTTGAATGGGATTTTGAAACTGTTCTGGACTCACATCCGGGGCTCAGTTATCACCCCCACCACCATTCCCAGGGGTTACTGAGAGGTCTGTGTCCCTCCTGTCCTGAGTTCCTCCTGTCTTGCAAGCGCTACATTTCTTTCATTTTTCATCGAGGCAGTGCTGTATCCTGGCAGATGGACATTTGTCAACCCAGACAGCCAGGGCAGTCTGAGATGTGAACAGCCTCATGCTGACAGTGGAATCAAGCTAGGAGGAAACAGTACTGTTACCTGATTTACCAGTATCCCATGTCTTTCCTATTTTCAGATCAGCATCTTTATGACCCACCTGTCCAACTATGGGAATGACCGTCTGGGACTGTACACTTTTGAGAGCCTGGTCAAGTTTGTGCAGTGCTGGACCAACCTTCGCCTGCAAACACTGCCCCCTGTCCAACTTGCAAAAAAGTACTTTGAAATCTTTCCCCAGGAGAAGAATCCCTTGTGGCAGGTGAGAAGGCAGCTTTAACTGCTCCTAGTGGTTTTCCAAGAGGTATGTTCCACATTTAAAGTGTAGAAGGACTGCTGATCCAGAGCACAGAGGGGTAATGCATAAAACTTTTAGGTTTAACCTTTGTGGCTTGAGGCGGCAAGTGGCAAATTGCAAGGTGGAAGGGATGGGCAGTAGGAGCAGTAGGACACAGTCACGGTGTGAGCTTAGGGACAGGGATGGCCGTCATAAGTGATTGGGGGGCAGGCTTGCAGGCATTTGGGTTGTTAAAGGGCTTATATTAGAGCAAGCTGCCGTGAAACGTTAAGTGTGCAAGGAAGAACCCTGTTTGGTGATGGAGGAGCTTGCAGGCATGTTAATGTGATTAATCTTAAAGTAATTTCACACTGCAGAATTCATGTTCATTAAATAAAAACATGCTTATTCCATTTTATCCCAGTGCAGCAGCTCTCTGCATGGTAATGAGCAGATGAAATTAACTGAAGGTGATAGAGTTGTCTGTCTGCTAGAAGTTCACAGATGCTGAGCTGTACTATCATGGTGGCCCAGCCCAGCATGGCTACATGGGGCAAGGCCTGTGGTTAACACTTTCAGAGGGACCTTGGCTCCCATGTCACTTTGGAGCTTTTGAAAACGTTTCCCCGTGTTTTTCCTTAACTCTTCTTGATGCCTGGCAGAGCAGCAGTATGGCTGTGAAGTGTTCTTCATATGCTAATAGCATTTTCCCAAGAGGACTGGCCTTCCAGCTTCTCCTCCCCTTTCCATTAGCTCCTGTGGTAATGCTTAATCCCATCACTTGTGCTGCAGAATCCCTGTGATGATAAGAGGCACAAGGATATCTGGTCCAAAGAGAAAACATGCGATCGACTCCCCAAGTTCCTCATCGTGGGACCTCAGAAAACTGGTAATGTGAATACTTTATCTAAAGATAGGTTGCAGCTTCCATCTCATTCCTCCAGAGAGGAGAGCTGGAAGGGTCTGTGTTGTAGGTCAGTATGGCTGCCCTTTGTGCAAGCTGCCAAATGGCTGCAGAGGACATTTCAGAGAATCTCAGATTTGTTCTAAGCTAAATCTGGCAAGTCCATCAGTACTTTGCACCCTGCCACTTTGCTTGGCTCAGTCCTGATTTGCAGGGAGAAGCCCTACCTGCAGAGTTGTGTTTTGGCTTTTCCACATAAGCTCAGAGAAACTGTGACCTTTCTTAGTGTGTCACAAACATAAGCTGTCAGCAGGACTGAACGCACACACTTAGCAAAAGTAACGATGAATGCCCCCTAGTGCTTTTATTGCGACAGATCTGTGTACCACTACATGCTCCATGTCACTGTCAGTGGGAGGTAGAGATCCGTTTTTGTCTGACCTCTGTCATCACCTCTTAACTGCTGTGGCATTGTGGTTGGCAGTGATACGGCTGTATGTACTGTCCTGAGGAGTCCTTTCCATGCTGAAGAGAGCAAAATCTCTTCAGCCAAAGCCAGGTCTTCCAACCTTGGCTTTCTCTGTAGTGCAGTGAAACAGCAGCTGCCAACCATGCACAGCAAATGGTGATCCTGGTCTTGGGAGGAAGCTTTTCCCAGCCAAGCTGCTGTTTCCTGCCTGTGTCACTGTGAAGCTCTGTTGGTGTGTGTGCAGCATGGGCCCTCCTGTATCACGGCCCAAGCTGCTTGCAACGGCACAGTTAAGAAAACCTTTCTCTCGGCTGATGTGTTGCCCTGCTGGAGGCCTACAGCTGTGTGCTGAGCAGGATTATCCGGCTTGGCTGCGTAAAGGGAAAACATCTACAGCAGAGGCAGGCCAAGGCTTCTCTAGCTGAATTCTTACCCAAGGACACTAACGTTGTCCCTAGCACATCTCCTTCCCACGCATGCGATCCCCCTGCAGTGCCCAAGCCACCTCCTATTTGGCAGGTATGGGTTCTGCCACATGACAGTGTGGCCGTGCCACCAGGGAAAAAAGGCGTGGGGGTAGCCCAGCCATGGTAAGAACACAAGATCGCCTATGTGGGTAACAGCTGTCATGCTAAGAAGGTGACTTAAATCAGCTGCATGAGCTGAAACGTGAGATTGAACTGCTGAGTCAAGTTCAATCCCAAAGTGCTTGGTGTCGCTGCTCTTGTAACCTGCATGAGTTAAGGGGTGGGTTAGCCAGGCATGGTAGCAGGGTGCCCACTTGGGGACTGTTTTTTGCAGTGTAAAGCCTTTCATTCAGCCAAGCATTATGTGTGACCCAGGTCCCGTTAACTGGTTCCTGTTGCAGGCACCACAGCTGTGCACTTCTTCTTGACCATGCATCCAGCTGTCACCAGTAACTTCCCAAGTCCATCCACCTTTGAGGAGATCCAGTTTTTTAATGGACCCAACTATCATAAAGGAATCGATTGGTAAGAATCCTGACACGTGTTCTTCTGTGATAAGGTGCGCCCATGTTGTCTTCTCCTGAGTCTCTGTGTATGTCCACTTGAGCCACCTTAGTTTCTCTATTCCTGAAAAGCTGTTTTCATTGCTATTGCTCAGTGCATGTTCTCTGTTTTCCTGCTAACCCAACTGCTTAGTCCCAAAAGCAGGACAGGCAGTTTCTGATATTAGTGACTGTTTGCCAGGAGATTTCTGGGCACGATTTAGTTTTTTAAAAATTCAGTCTCTGTTGAATGCACTGCTGTTATGAGGTTTCTTCTCCTTTGACATGCAAAACAGACAACAGTGTGCTCTTTAAAAAGTTCTTCGTGGTTTCCGAGTTAAGACATGTAGGACAGAGGGGACAACCTCCGTGCTGTTGTGCTGGGCCCTTTAGACTTAACAGAGTTGACGCTGCATTCCTTGCACTGGCTCCAGTGTCTCTTTGGCCACATCCATACCCTGTTCTTTACCTGTACAAGTATACAATTTTGATGAAGTGTTTCCATCTGGCAGGGAAATACTGGTGTCACTATGGCACTATTACAGCACTATGTTTCCAGGCAGAGAAATTTTAAAGTTGTTGCTTGCTCGAAGCATGCACTTTGGGTCCACCATGGCACTGCACTCCCTCACGTGTGGCTCTGAGGGACGGCTGTGTGGTGGTAAGGCATTCTGCTGTGGCATTTCTTTGCCCGTGAGCTGTGGGAGATTTTGTCTGACTTCTCTAATCATTTAGAGGACTGTTGAAAAGATACTGGAAGGTGGTTGGTACTTGGGTGAGGCTCACATGAGTCAAGCATTACAGAGCAGTTGTACTAGCTAATAGATAGGCTTAGAAAGCGTAGGCTTTTATGTGCATCCCCTGGAAAAGTCATCCAGCTTGAGTGTGGCATCACATATAAGAGGAGAATCTTCATGTTTAGGATAGAATTTGAGTTCGTTGTACAGCTTATATTTCAGCAGAGACCAGTCTTCCAGTACTTTACAGTGTCCTGTTTCCCCCTAACCCTCTATCCTACCATTACTCGAATGTCTTACAGTTTGTGTTACTAATTTTACAAGCTCCTGTGAGGCAGAACAGAGCTCTTGACCCTCTACTTGTGCCTCCACTATGAACTGAGGTACAAAGAGAGAAATCTAAAGCAAGCAGTCAGTGGCAGGGCAGGTAGCTGATTCTGGCCTTATTCTTGGGACAAAACCTTTTTTCTCCTAGAGCTTGCAACTAGTACCCTAACCTTGGCCTTTTCCTTCTACTGCCCAAGGACTTGGGGAACACACTTTCAGCAAAATACTTTCTTACCCTTTTATCATCTCCAACTTTCTATGGTGTGCCCTACCACCCCTTTCTAAGTCATGCCTCTGCCAGCTCTGCACCAGTTTGCCCATTCATTGCCTTACTGGGGAGGCGCAGTTGTTCTGTGAACTGTGTCTGTTGAAGAGGAGCAAGGGCATCACTTTGTCATGTGCCGTTTCTTTGTTGGGCCATGCTGCTCACCAGCGTCCCATCTGTTCGGCAGGTACATGGAATTCTTTCCCATCCCCTCCAATGCAAGCACAGACTTCATGTTTGAGAAGAGCGCCAATTACTTTGACACAGAGGTGGTACCAAAACGTGGTGCAGCCCTGCTGCCTCGAGCCAAAATCATTACTGTTCTGATCAACCCTGCTGACCGAGCCTATTCATGGTACCAGGTAACTTCCCTGCACTACTCTGCGGGGGAGGGCCAGAGAGAGATTCCAGTGGGGTGAGGCGGAAAGCCTGGGGCAGAAAGCCTGTGGACCCGTTTCCACAGAGGGGCCAGGGGAGATGATGCAGGCTGCCTGCAGAGTGTGGACAGTTACATACAAAGGCATTGGTTGGGTGGTTGGGCCGAGGCCGTGGAGTCTGCACAGAGATGCGTAAGGTGGAATTTTGTGTTTCTGCTCCTAAATTCAGCTTATGTTTTTCAGCACCAGCGTGCTCACAATGACCCTGTGGCGCTCAATTACACTTTCTACCAAGTGATCTCTGCAAAATCCCAGGCCCCTCAGGAACTGCGCAACCTGCAAAGCCGATGCCTGCTCCCTGGCTGGTATTCAACTCACCTAGAGCGCTGGCTAACATACTACCCGTCTGGGCAGGTAGGAGGTTTGGCAGTAGAGGCTCTCTTGGAGCCCCTTGTAGGTTTAGTATAGAGGAGAGAAGAACAAACTGTAACATGTGCATGTGCTCTTCCCTTCCTCGCCCCCCCACGCTCATTGTTTTCATTTCACCTTCTGTCTTGTCTTTTGGAAGAAGAGCCACCACTTGCTTCCTCCTGTTAGGAGCTGATAAGAAATCAGGCTTGAATACTCCAATTTCGCACTTTACTGCATTCGTAAAAGTAAGTAAGTGCAAGAGGATACTGTGATCTCCCAGAGAGTGCCACAATATTGGGAAGTTCAGCAAGAACAGCAGTGTTAGCACTCCCTTCCTTTCATCTTGGCTGCCTGCAGCCCAGGGACCCTCTTCAGGCCCAGTAGGTATGCAGCTACTTGCTGTGGTTTCATTGCTTTAAAGAGAGGCTCTTGGACTCTGCCACTTGGTAGTTCCCATGCTGTGAAGCCTTTAGCTGTCTGCTGAAGGGAAATTTCACTGTAGAGATGTCAGGATTCTGTGTTTTTTGTATAAATTTGCAAAAAGTCAATTATTAGACAATAGAGACTATTTCTGTGTCTAAATTCCCAAGAGATTTGTAAAATGCCTAATACATTGTGAGTTAGGATGTATTTTTTTCAAGTTCCTTTCTGCTGCTGGGATTATCCTCAGTCAGTCTATAATCCTGCAGAGTTTCATAATGTCCATTTAGTCTCTTATTCTTTGCCAAAGCAGCAGCCTAAACAGTACATCATAGATCTGCCAAGACTAAAAGAGACATGGGAAAACATTCTTGGGTTTGTGTCTCATTGCTTTACTATTCCTGGAGGTTACTGCTGTGAGGAATGATAGAGCCAGACACGCCATCCTTGTACTTACTATGGGCCAGAGTCTCCTACCTTCCCCAAACTTCAGTTCATGTGACTATTTTTCTGTTGTGTTCTTTGGAATAGGTAATTTGTTAGCACAAATGTTGTTCATTATTGTCTATCATACATGTAACAGGAGATAATCATAGGTTACAGAAGAATACTTAGCGTAATGGCTGCTGACATCTAAAAAGAATACATGAGGTTTCTAGAGATACTCTGTAAATCATGCTGCTGCTGGGCCTTAATGCTCAGTTACGTGGGGTGTGGCCGAAGGCAAATTTATTAAGCAAAGCCTATCATGATCTACTGTCTTGCAGTATTTGTGGCGTGTATCATAACTTCTGTCTGTGGTGACAAATGGGCCGCATCCCCCCGCTGTGTTGCTCTAGAATAAACAGGCTTTGGCAGCCTCTACTCACACGCACAAAGGCCAGGGGCATTTTTGAGAGCCAGGAAGCTCACGGGTGTCATTCAGCACAAACTGTCAGAGGCTGAGGTGGCTGCTGTCTTTTCAGCTTCTCATTGTGGATGGTCAGGAGCTGAGACACAACCCTGCCTCTGTAATGGACAACATCCAGAAGTTCTTGGGAGTTACGCCGCTCTTCAACTATACCCAGGCCCTCAGGTAAGGAAATTGTTTTGGGAGGATGCCTTCTTAGCCAAGTGTGATACTAATAAGCACTTGATTAAAAGAACGCTTCTTATCTCTGACTACAAGACCTGCCAAGGTTTCAGAGGTATGCCTAACCCTAAAATTAGGCTCAGATAGCATGAGATGCTACGCTAAGACTGAAATCATAACTTAGTCTTTCCAGAAATGAGAGGGGAAGGGGTGTTTTTTGGCACTGTCACGGAGAAGCATGAAGTTGCTCATAGCAGTAATTAGATGTTTTCTTCGTGGTTTCAGAAAAGGTGCTGGAATTACTAGCACTCCTTATGCTTTGTGTTATACCTATATGTGACAGAAAGTAGAGGAAGTATGATAAAAAATGTGTGACAGGCTGCTTGTATCTTCAACTAGATGGAGATTAGGGACACATCGCACAGTTTTGAGGTAAAGAGCCTATTATTACAGCAGGTGCCCAGAGCTATGTTAGGGAGCGTTAGCGGAGGCACTACCTCACTGCTAGTAAGTTGAAGGACGTTACTCAGCCATTACTGTGATCTTGCCCACATTGCAAGTGCAATTAATCTGGATAGATTAACTGCTAGCTGAAGGTGAACTGTGGCCCTATCAGTCTTCAGTGGAAACTCTGCAAGCCCACTGGAGAGCCTGAATATTGCTCTTTGCAGCTGAAACCGGTGTTTTCGCATCTTCTCTGCTATCACAGCCTATGCTAGCTGAGGGTAGTGGGTGGTGTGCGTGTGTGTAGGCATACGGCAATTGCCCTTTCCTTTAACAGTAAAGAGAGGAGAAGCAATTCAATTCTCTTCCTACAGTTGTTTTCCAAGGGGATGGCACATGGCTCCCTGGGGGGGGCAGATTGAGAGAAATGTCAGATTACTTGAAAGCCTTACTTGCTGAAGCACATGTCGTGATGGTAAATGGGCTATTTACAGTAGTGGTAGTGGCTGGTACCCTTCAGCCAGGGTCAGAAAAGAAATGGAAAGAAATGGTATTGGTCAGCTTGCCTCAGAGTTTGGTAGAGGTACTTGCTCAAACCTCAAGCTCACCTTTGGCCAATTGAGAGGACAGGACAGACAAGACCAGATAGGGTTCCAAGCATTGCCTTATACCTATGTTTTAGCAAGAGAAGAAACACCGATACTTTAAACAGTCGGGATTCTCTAACACTTTTCAGCTATAAAGAGGAGATTTAAAAGCATTTACATACACTAAAACATTGATTATTATTTTTCCCCCTCAAAGCTTAACAGACAAATATTGTAACACCATATTACCTCTGAAATTTGCATAAAGCAGAAACAGTCATGGTTGTAATGGATTTCTTGTCAAAGTAGTCAAGTGATTAAAAAAAAAAAAATTGAACCAATACCATAAATAAATAAGTAAGTAAAACCTAAACCCAGTTTTTAAAGCATTAAAATGGGAAATACCTATGGAGCTACTTAATTTCTGCTGCTACTAATTGGGCATGTGGTCATACCTTTTAAAGACAAGTGTCCTTTTCAGATTTGATGAAGCAAAAGGCTTTTGGTGCCAGCTGCTAGATGGAGGAAAGACTAAATGCCTAGGAAAGAGTAAAGGAAGAAAATACCCTGATATGGATTCCTCGGTGAGTAACTGTCTCAAATCTGTTGGCAGCAAGAGATGTAGAAACATCCCAGCAAACCAACCTGGATTTTCCTACCACCTATGTCCTAGATGACCTATGGAACATGTGCTCAGGGTAACGTTTTCTTTCACCCTAATGTGGTCTGTATTTTCTACACAGTCACGGCTGTTCCTAAGAGACTTCTACCGGGAGCCCAACATTGAATTATCCAAGCTGATGAACAGACTTGGACAGCCCCTTCCAACCTGGCTCCGAGAGGAACTGCAGAACTCCAGCTGGAGCTGAGAGGGACTCCCTTGCCCCCAGTGCCATTGGGATGTGTGGTGCTCCAACGCGTGCTATGATGCCACCTCTTGTCAAGCCAAAACAAGTGGACAAATGAGCAGGAGCAGAGAATGTGCATGTGGAGCCTTTCCCCACCATTGGGAAGGGCTACTGCCTCTGACACTGCCCTGGGGCATGGACTGCAAGTCACATTCTTGAGTATTACTGGTGTGTTACACTTTGACTTTTACTTACAGGAAGGATTTGGAATGCCTGCCCTACTTTGAGCAGGGGAGAGAGCACGGTTAACACTTTATGTTTAAATTACTCTTCTCAGTATATGAAACAGGGACTAGCTGGAGGGTTAATGTGTTACTTCTCTGAGTCCAGGAGTAAAGACTTACGAGGTGAGCTATTGAGCCCACTGCTGAGAAGAGCAGCAGCAGCAGCTTAATAAAAGGGGAGTCTAGTCCAGTGAACCCCAGCTTTTATCCAGTAGTCTATTTGGCAGCAGCAAGGTACAAGAAGACCTTGTCCCTCCCCACGCAGAGTACAGTGGCTATGATCGTTATCATTACTTACAGTGCCACTGTGCGTGGCTGTTGGGGACTGCACTTTCTTAGAGACGTAGCACATGTAAGATTGCCTCTCCTTATCTGCAGCATTGTTGGTGTGATACAGTGTCCAGTGACTGGTCAATGGACAGTGGGAGATAAGGCAAAGCTGCAGATATTGACACACAGAATTGATCTGTTACCTTAGGGAGAAGGTTGCCATATGTGGCAACATGGCAAGTATTTCTCTGCAGGGACTTTAGATGCTTCAAAAGATACCCAAGGTGTAGTATGTCCCCTTAGAGCACTTTGGAGGCATGTGTTTGTTAGTGCAGCACAGCAGCTGGGGGAGGCAAAGCTCAGGTATTGTAATACAAGGCTGATGCAGCTGAAAGCAGACAATTCAGTTCCCCATGTCTGATCAGCTTTAAAAAAAAAAAAAGCAACATTTTTGTCTTTCCAACAACTCCAGGGCCCCTACCACATATGCTGATAGCTAGCACCTGTTTTAATCCCCCTGCAGTCCAACAATCCAAGGAGAAAAGCAAAAAAAACCAGTTAAAAGTAAGTACCGTTCGGATATGAAGGGAAGGCTGGGAGTTAGAAGTGGTTTCCTGTATCCAAAAGGAGCCATTTCGTTTACTACTTCTGCACATAGTCAAGGAAGTACACTAAGGTGCTTTGCCTCCTCCTGCAGTTGCTGGATAATTTTTCTCAGAGGAAATCCTCCATCATGGTTGTACATGTTTTCTGTTGCTGAGCCATGGGCTTCTGGAGTTGTGTGGGCCGTCATCCCTCCCTCTTGGGCACAGATGGACCTTGGAGATTGCTGCAGTTCCAGAGAACAGAGGGGCAGGATCCATATGAACACAGATTACGGAAACTTCCACAACTGTCATGAGCTCCTTTTCTCCTATCCAGAGAGAAGTTGCTTCAACCAAGCTTTTCCATTGAGCCTTAGGTATTGTGTATTTCTGAACGAATGGTGCATTTACTGTTGTATGTAAATGTATATAGTATGCAATATAGTATTTTATTTCATGTGCCCTTGGAAAGGGTTATTTTGTGCAGCCAAAAAAAGGACAGAAAGACTAGAAATCCCTCTCTTGCTCCTGTTAGAGAGAAGAGCCTGACTTCCTGCACTGGATTCATGTATAGCATCATTCACATTGAATGATAATGAAGAAATTCTTGGCGCTCAAAGCTGAGCACAAATGTCTGAATAAAGGCTAGAAGTAGTAGTAAGTGGAGATTCAATAAATGTACTACTTATTTTTCTTCTTTGTGATGATTTGGAGTGATGTCATGGACCCTAAGCTGGTAAAAGGGTAAGAAAAACTGAAAAACCTACTCCAGGCCTTACAGCTGATATTTGGGAGGGCAACGAAGGTGTTTAAGTTACATTTGTAACAACACAGAAACAGTTCCTAAGGCTTCTTTCTCTGTAAGTGCACCTGTAGGCTTGCAGAAGCTGGCACAGCAGGCAACCTGTGGTTGGAGACTTATTCTTACTGGTTTGCACTAGTGATGACTTTTGGGCCATTCCTGGCTACTGCCGTAGTTTCCAGCTGCTATGCTGCACAACAGCGCTTTGCTGTGCACCTCCTGTCCAGGTGTGCTCCAGCGCCTGGCCTTGGCCAGCAGCCCACGAGCAGACCTACAGTAATAAGCGACCTTACATTCAACTGGAAGCAAAACACTGTTCAAATAGTCACGGTTGTGACAGCATTATAAAACAGCCTGACAGCTCTCACTTCACCAAGCACTTCACAAATAAACACAGCAGCAGCAGCGCAGCTATTTTTACATGCTGCAAGAGGAGGAGGAGGAGGATCCCAGGACCAATTCTACTGATGCTCCATTAAACACAGTTTCCGGCTCTTAATCCATTACAGGTTGTCACTTACTTACACAATTACTTTATGCTTTACCTCAGACTATGGAACATCTTTGAGGAGATGGACTCAAACATTAAAAAAAAAAAAAATCAAGGTACCAGGAATAAATGCTGGGAGGGGCTCACTGAATGTCGGGGTTATTTTACTGGCAATAGTCCTTCCATCAAGGCAGCAAAGGGTAGCTGTGTGTTCTTATTATTTGTTCTTTCCCTCCCCCTGATTGTTTCATTTTTATGCTGTGCTAGTTCTTACTGCTTATGCTAACGGCAAACAAATCAGCTGCTGTGGTCAGATCCAACTGTAGGATGTCCTTATCTGATTTAGCTGATGAGGAGTCATTTTCAAATCCGGTAATTCCCTCTGGCAGCATGTTGCTGCAGAAGCTACCCACTTTCCAGACATCCCTTCAAAGTGGAAACAAACACTCCCTCCTAAGAGAAGTTCTTATAATCAGAAGCTCTGTGATATCAAAAAGCCAACAAAAACATATTTTCCAATGAGATACACTGGTGACTATAGATACTGACCTATTAGGCACTTACACATTACAGACCCTCACACTTCATTTTGATAGTGGAAATAAACCTCCTCTTCTTACCTCTCTGTTTAGTAACAGAACTTCATGGTAAGCAGTAGTTCACTTCTAAGACAAGGAAAATGGTAAGCACAAAACATTACCCAAAAAAATTTTTGTAATGTATTAAACATATTTTTGTAGTCTGATGCATAGGACACTGACCCACTTAGAAAGGAGTAATTTGACCCAGGTATCAGAAAGGCACATGATTGTAACAGAAACAGTAGCCAGGTCATGTCACTCTTCAGAACTTGAAGGGTGCACAAAAGGTGAGAATTGGCAAAACAAACAACTGGAAACAACTTTTTTTTTTTTTTCCCCCCCTTTCTTTTTTTTTTTAAAGCCATTAGAGAATGTGTATATACCAACCTTAGAAAAGAAAGCTCAGCATATGAAGCTGGAACTTCTACTCGCACACAACCTCTGGAATTCAATCAGGAAGATGCTTAGAAGTAGGCTGCTACCTCTTTCTACTAGGTACAGGAAATACTAGTACAAGTCTCAACTGTAAGGTAAAGGCCTTTTAAGGGAACTGGGAGAAGTTCTCTGTAGGTGGCAGCATGTATCAACTCTACATAAAAATCTGATTGCTGAAAACTGCAGTTTTCAATTGATGACGGCACTGCAAAGGCACATATTCCTGGCAGAAGCCTGCAGCTCCTGGAAGTCAGAATGACACGAGTCTAGCTGTATGACTAACAAGCAACTTGATCAAACTCATCCTGTTGTTTTTTCAGCCCTCGCACTCGGTAAGAAAATCCTTTGATTCCTTGCTGTACCAGTAGTAACACGGCAGGAAAAGCAATGACTGACTGGACTGAACACGCCAAACGACTCTGAAACAAAACTGTTGATCCCCCTTGGTGAATTCTGAATGTCTCCTGGCTGACAGGATGCAGCTGCAAGCAAGACACCAAGACGGTGCCATCTAACACACACACAAGCATTTCCAGCAGGCTGCCTTAAGCCAGGAATAAAAACTCCCATCACGCAGTAGGACATGGATTCAGCACTGGTACCTCCTCTCCAGCTATCAGGGCTTTACCTACAGTTTGTTTCCTTCCCCTTTTCTCTTAAAGGCTTGGGGCAGAAGGAGGAGAGTAAACACTGAGCGTTGTTAAGATTACAAACTAATGCTGGCCTCTGAGAAACAGTTTGCAAGCTGGTTTTGCTACCAAAAAAAAAGAGTCTTCCCAACACTCTCATCTCCACTGCTCTTGAGAAATAATTTATTAAGCAATCTATTCTTAGCTTTAAAGAGTGGTTTTATTCCAAGACTCTATTTCTCCCCATTCTCATCTATATAGTCTTACTGACATCTCCAGTCTCTCCAAAATGCTTGTAAATGAGCATGTCCATAATAGTGACTCTGCCCCAGCAGCCTGAAACCCAGCTCACATTTCTTTCACTTGGGGTAACAGAAGATCATAAATCAGGCTGGTCTCAGAATCCCCCAATGACAAGTGATTGGAAAAGAAGCATTTCACGAATTGTAACAACAATGTGTGGACACCAAGGCCCCGTGCAACAGCTGCCCTTTAAGCCCCAAACTTCCTGACACAGAAGCTCTCCTGTAAAGGCAGGAAGCAAAGTAAAGCATGACATGGCAGGAAATTGTGGGGACCCAGTCCCTGATCATAGTGCACACTACTTATGTACATATACTATATACAATAGACTTGTAATGTATTTCCAGCATTTTCCCCTTATAGCTCACATCCCCTTTATAGCAATAAAGTAATTGTGTAGTGCAGCCTGTGCAGTATTAAGTAGTTATGACTGTTGTAACTGTAAGCAGACAACACCAACAAGAAAAAAAGTCACTTACAGAGCACAGTCACTGTCTTTATACCAACAAACACTATACAGCAAAATGACCTTCTGACAGCATGCAAAGCTTGCATTTGAATGTTACCACTGAGAAAAAGCATTAACTAGTCACAGGCTCAAATGGAAACCCTAGCACAGGATAGACCCAAACTGCACTTCCAGCTTTCACAGATTAATGCCACTCTTGGACAGGTGTCTCCATTCCCTGCCCCAACTGCAAGTATCCTTAAAATGGAAACAGGAAGCAGAAATAAGTTCAAAATGCACATTTGAATTATGCTGGGGAGCAGGGGTAGTGAGAAGCGCGGTAGTTTAAAAAAAAAAAAAAAAAAAGTAGTACTATTTAAGAAAGACCTTCTTTACCATAATGATGCTATATGGCACTTAAATTCGGGCACAGCAAGAAAACACGAAATAGTCTAAATAAACTGTAGTTGAGAGCTGTTCACTCTAACAGTAGGACTTAACAGCAAAGTCATAAAACAGTCACGGTCATCAACAAATGCTGAGTGGTCCTCACAGCCCAACCTGCCCTTTTACTTTTTTCAGCTTAATTTTAAAAAAAAAAAAAAAAAAAAAAAAGCCTCAGTAGCAGACTTTTCTTTTTTAGCATGCTCTCTCCCCAGGTGCATCCTGAAAAATTCATTTTTATACCCTGCCCCTCTCTTAATGTCTCGATAAGAAAAATACAACTTTTGCAACTCTTACAGAAAATTATTTCAACTTTATGTCATAGTACAGCTGATTGACTTATACCAAGAGGTGGTGATAAACTTCATGGATATGTCAATGCTTACTCTATTTCCATTGACTC